GGCAGTAGAAAATGAGGAGAGAGCAGAAGCCAAGTGAAGAAAAGTGCTTCAATGAAGAGGGCTGGTCTGTGCTCAAATACCGCCAAAAGGTCAAATGAGACGGGGACTGAGGAGTGACGGCTGGCTTTGGTCATGTGGAAGTCCCTGGTAACCTTGGCCGGAGAGATTTCCAGAGTGTGGTAACTGGCTTCTCTACCTCTCAGCTTGGCTGCCAGCCCCTCGGCCCTGGCTGTGTCACCTCCAGCCCTACATCAGGGCTGAGAGGAACACATTGGCTTAACCGGTTTGGTTTTTGTCACCACACTCGGCCAAGGAGTCTTTTGCCAAATGTTTCAACGCTGATGGAATTTATAAGAGAATGCCACCTTTCCTTTTAATGTTCAAGCTTACTAACTAGGTGTAGTAGAGGACAATATCTCTGTTATAATAGTCGACCCCAAACATGTTTTTGAAAATTTCACATGTAGTAGAGCTTGTGTATGTAGACCTTTAATGAGAAATTTAAATGAGAGGTTTAAAGATAGGACAAGTTGGGCAAGGTCCCCTGATAAGCAAGTGACACATCTGAGTCTACGAACCTAAGTAAACGCGCTCTAGGTGAAAAGGGTTTGTTGGGATGGTTTCTTTAACCTTTGTGAGGGGTTAAAACTAAAAGCAAAATAAATATGAAGGGGGAGGAGTGAAAGTCTCCCCTATGTTAAAACCCTGCCACTTCAGAATCCACTGCATGGCTGCTCGGAGAGAAAACATTTGTTTTATTGATTTATCTTCTTTGAGTAAAATGGGTTGGTCGTCTGTGTGCCAATCCCTGGCCTGTTTGCCTTGACAGCCACTCCTCCCCCACTGGCTGCTCAGCGGTGTACCTTGGGGGGCAATGCCTGCAGGTCTCACCAGCTCTGTGTTCCAGGCAAATTGGGGGAGAGTGGAGGCCAGAGGACCTTGCCCCCCTCTCAGGCCTGGGGCTGCTCCCTAGTAGCCCCTGAGTCTCCTCTGTGGCTCCAGCTCCCTCCAGCCTGGTCAGGGGCTGGAGGTAGCGGCTGCTGCTGACCACCTCACGCTCCCTTGTTTGATTCCTCTGCTCCTCTATCACCGGTGTAGCCATTTTCCAGAATGAGGGTTTCTCTGATTTAAATGCACAGGTGATTTCTGTTTTTCTGGCTGGATCCTGACCCATCACATATGGGTTTTCCTCTTCTGCCCCAATAGCAATTTCTAAAGCCCAAATATGTGAATTAACAAATACATGCTTCCAAGTCACAACAGGAGGGAGAGGTGGTTTTCGGGATTCTGTAGACCTTTCAGACCTCATATGGTGGTTAGGACTTTTGGCCGCACCTTGAGACAGCGTGGTGTTGTCGCTTGCTATTTTTGTGGTCGTTCCCCAGTCCTCTAAGCCTTCTAAACCTGTTTCCTCATCAATGATATGGAGATGATAGTTTTTCTATTTCACATGATCCTGACAATTGAATAGAATATTGTGTTCAAAGTACTTCGGACAGTATGCACTCGCTGTAAATGTTCTGTGAAGAAAGCCATTATTAATTACAAAGCCTCCTTTTCCATAAATAAGCCTCTGCAGTTGCTATTACTCATGTCAGAGGCCAGACTTGAAGTGAGGACAAGCCTTTGCTGGCATTTCACCCTCAGAGGGCACTAAACCAAGCCATTCATTCGTAGCTCCGGGGTGCGTTAGTGGGCCTGGGAGGGGGCTGTGGAAAACTACCCCCGTTATTACACATGAAGCCCTGCGTGCATTCACCTTGCTGTTGGCCCCGTTCTCCATCACTGAACCTATAGCTAATGGACTAAGACACAGCAAGGTAAGAATGGAGCTGGTTGTTATAAATACTGATGGACCGGTCCTCCTGCTATTAATGAGGTCAGGAGTGGGGGGTGAGATGAAGAGAGCTTGCATTGGAACTCACCGTAAGGACTCCTGTCCGGTCTGATTCTTTTTACTCTTGCATCTTGACGTCCTCTCCCGCCCTCTTTCTTTTCTGAAAGGTCAGACGAATGCCCAGCCCCCTCATAAAACTTTTCTCTGATGGTTTCAAACAAATTGTGTTTGCAGGGGTGCAATCTGCTCCCCAGGTCCCCAAGCACCATTTCCTGAAGAAGACCTCCTCCAGGCTCTCTTCCCAAAGAACACCCTGCCACGCAGCGATGTGGGGCGACTGGGCCGCGCCTTTCTTTGGCTTAATACCAGTTTCATTAACAAGCATGTTCACACGTCAACCGGAACATTTAAAATAACACCCACACAATGTGTTTAGTGTCTAGTTAATTATTAAGTCTCTGGGCTTGAATTATTCAAGCAAAATTGATTGGGTTCAAACTAATTCCTTCTCTTTGTGTGTGTGTGTGTGGTTTTTTTTAAAAAAATAAAAATATGTTCTCCCCCGTCCTCACTAAACAATGTGGTAAAGTTATTATGCAAATATAAATACTCTGGCCTGTGGGTGGTACCCAAGTGCTAACAGAATAGGTAGAGAAAGGACTGGCAGCTTGATTCTTTTATTAAGAAATATATCGGTAGCTCATATACTGTGCTTCCATTTATGGAGAGCTAACATGTTTTAGGTTTTTTTCTTTTAAATTCTTTTCTAAAGTTATTTACAAGTTCGATAAGTAGGTAGCTTACAGCCAGTTCTGTGGCGTAAAAGCAAAAGAAAGTGCTTCTTTCTTTGCTACCCCAACTCATGGGCAAATGAATATGTTAGAATGTCTTGTCTTCACTGTTAGGAACCATGTTATTGAAGAATATAGCCCCCTAAGTGAAAACAGGGGGCTGTAAAACTGTCTTTTATTATGTGTCATTTTGTTAAAACGCATAAAAAAGGTGAATCATGAACACCAAAATATTAATGATTATCTGTTAGGATTTTTGCTTTTTTACCCCTTTTGCTTTTCTAATGCTTTTATGATTCGCCCACAGATAAAGATGCCAGGCTAGAAATGACTGATCTTTTGTCTGAGCCTATAATCATGTGTCAGGAGCACTTCGCAAATAACGCTGTCCAACATTCACAAAAAAATCCACACTATTCTGTGAATCATAGCAACTTGAATAATTTGTTAGCCTTCATGTTTAGACTTCCTTTCTAGACCTTCACTGCTAATTTTTCCTCAGCTTTCATATTATTCACATGTAAAACGATGCAATTGTGGACATTAACATAGAAAACATAACTGCCCCATGGGTGTTGGAAAGGACTAGAAAATAATTGTATTTTGCAGAAAGATTTTAAAAAAATATGTTGATTGATTTCAGAGAGGAAGGGAGAGGGAGAGAGAGGTAGAAATATCAATGATGAGAGAGAATCATTGATTGGCTGCCTCCTGCACACCCCCTATTGGGGATCGAGCCCACAACCCTGTCTTTTGCAGAAAGATTTTAACGATGACCATTTTGAGAGTAAAAGGCAGAAATGCAGTGACCTAATTTACATATTTTTTAGTATATTTAATATCTATATATATAAAACTCTTGCTGGTGCCAATCTCATGCATGTGTTTCCATCTGTCATTGTTGATTGTGAATTTGGTTGACACTTCTATTAGGGCGAATAGCGATATTAAAATATTTCTTCTAATTTCCTTTCATGGGCACAAACTTGTGCACTGGGCCACTAGTATTTAAATATGGAGCCTTCCACCAGAAATGTGAGTGCTCCTCTCAGACCCAGATTGGGGCCACCTGGAAGGCCTCAGCTGCCGGGGGGGCGTAGCTATGCATGACTTGCCTTTGCTGCCATTTCTGCAGTGCCATTGGGTTACGCGTGTACGTGCGCAAACGGGTGCGGACTTGCTCGGGAGGTGCGGGTTTGCTGGGGGTGGGGGGGGTGCAGGCTTGCTAGGGAGGTGCGGGTTTGCTGGGGGAGTGAGCTGCCCACCTCCCTCCGC